TGCCGCTGGAGACGGGGGTGAGGCCAGGGGTGCCCAGGTCACAGTCTGAGAGGTGGAGCGGGGAGTTGCTGAAGGCACCCAGGGTGTCAAGGCTGAAGCTGTCATCTTTCATTTCCTCCCATATGTTACCTTTAAAAGATTAAATTCTGGTCACAGCAACACCCCCAACCCGCCTGGGCACTGTGTGTAGGGGTCAGTCCACAGCTGAAGGGCTTTACCTGCTGTTTAGGACCAGGGCTGTTTGCAGATGGTACCATTTCTAGTGCAAAGGCAGTAAATGTCTGTTCCCCCCAAAGTCCTCTGGCTCCAGCAGCAGTCCAGACCTTTCTGGGAAGCATCTATCTACCATGTGCTACCCAGAAACCCAGGAGCCACGCTAGGCATCACCATGAGCCAGGGAAATTCTCCTTTTACAGAAGGGGAAATCAAGGCACGAGCAGAGCTCTTGTTCTCATGAGCTGTTACATCCCACCCCAGATCACCCTGCTGAGGACCCTGGTTATACATACAGTGACTACAGAACCATGTAGATCATGCCCTCCCCTACCCCAGCTCCCTTCTGCCATACCTTGCAATGCAAAATCCATAATGCTTGGGTCCAGAGCATCCACCTCCGTGCTCATGTCTGCTGTCACGTTCAGGAAGTCCGGAGGTGCACGCCCCATGGGGTGGTGGGGAAGAGGGCTGTGGCTCATGTCGGGCAGAGTATGGAGAGGAGGTGTTTGTGCAGGCGCGGGCGAGTCTGGGGCGATGCGAGCCTGGGTCTGGATCTGGTGGTGCAGGGGGATGGACTGCAGCGAGAGCGTCATGATCGGCTGAGGCTGCAGCTGGGAGATGGAGATTCGGCCTTGAGCTGCTGCCATGTGGTTCAGGGTGGAGACCTCCGGCTCTGCCTGTTTGCTGAGCCGCCTGCAGTTCTCGGGTCTGTCGGTGATCAGCTTGTCCAGCTCCTCTGCACGAGCCATACCCATTCCCAAGGAAGAAAAGAGACAGTTTAACCCGTTTGTTCAAGCAGGGCCTGGACAAAGCATCTCACAAGTGAGCACAGCCACGTGCTTCTGCCATAGAACTGAACAGGCAGTGGCTGCCACCGTACGAGATGCAGCACAGGAGGTCAGCTTTGACTGCAGAGAGCAAAGTTCCAGTTCCAACCCCCCTGTTTAGAAGCTCCCTTGAAGTACTGGAAGGCCACAGTGAGGTCTCCCCAGAGCCTTCTCTTCTCCAAGCTAAACAAGCCCAGCTCCCTCAGCCTGTCCTCATCAGCCCTCTGACCATCTTCCTGGCTCTCCTCTGGACCTGCTCCATATAAGCCCTACCTGGGTTAGCCATGCTCCTGTGAATAGCAGCCAAGTCCTTCCGCTTCCACTTCTGCATCTCCTCTTCCATCTTGTCGATCTTGGCAGGATTGAGAGCCCACAGGCACCCTTTGCGAGAGGTGCCACTCATCTTGTTCTCCACCTTCTCAAAACACTTATTCAGGGACAGGTTGTGGCGCACAGAGTTCTTCCAGCCATCAGGGGCTGTCTGAAAGATGCAGGAGGATGTCAGTGACGTAAGCCCTGAACAAAAGATGTGTCATGTTCTACTTCCACCCTTCAGGTGTACACCTAAAAAAAAGCTCCTTCATGAAGCTGTAGATCTCGCTCACTGGGAGGCTGCCTGTTTTGCTGTTCTTCAGGGCCATTGCAATCAAGCAACTAGAGGACAGAGAAA